TGAATACCTCTCTCGGCCTTTTGGCTAAAATCAAGTGTAGTATCTGTTCTGATGAGTTTAATAAATAAAAAAAAGTGTGCGGGGGTGGTGTGCCACGTGTTTGAACCCCGCGCACCCGTCGCGTGAAACCAAAAATGGCGTGAGTCCCCCGTTTTCCCGTTTAATGGGAATTAAACAGGGTTCCAGGGGGGATTAAATGGGTTTCACCTGCCTAGAGTTCCAGGGCATAGCACCCCCTTGCCGGACCCTTTTTCACCTGCCTTGTGTTCCGGGGCAGAGCACCCCCTTGCTATGAGTGCAGGTAGCGTAGTTGCTAAAGAGTCAAGACTCAATAGCATCTTTCACATTTTTCAGAAAACTCAACCTTATTTTTGTATCCATAACAGCTTTTCCATACATTCCCAAAAAATCAAAACCTTATTGCTGTAGTGATGACTGACCAGCTTGCCCTTGGGTCCCGTTTTGCCTGAATGGAATCCCCACATCGCCCGGTCATTACAGCTGTATTTAAGGGAACTTTCAGCCAATGACCGTAGCTGGACTGAAAACACAACTTTATTGCTGTAGCAATGACTCACCAGCTTGCCCTTTGCTAGGTAGGGGACTGAAAACAAAGACGCACATGCCTGAACAAAAGCAAGAAGCAATCCTTACTTAAATGAGATTGAACAACCAACCCGAGCGATACTGGATGATTCTTGGAGATCCAATCCGATAACATACATGATCATTGCTTTCTCTTTTCAAAAAAAGAATCTTTTTTCTTCTTTTTTTTTGGCGAAGTTGTCAGTGTATTCCAATCATCAGAACTGAGGCTGGGGACCTCACAGTTAAACCCCGTGGAAAAAAGCATACTGGGTCCATTACCCAGCTTAGGCTGTGCTGGAAACCGGGTCGAGTGTACCTTATACGCATTGAAGCAATTTCTTGAAAAAAAGAGGAAGCAACTTGACAATCAAAACAGGAAGGCGAGGGGAGGCAATAAGATTGAAGAGAGGTGCCTACCAACCGGGGACTGGTTCTTTTAATCCGGATGTCTGAATTTCCTCCGATTCATTGACAAGGTGCATCCCATAAATGCTTGGACACGACACGACACGACAGGGTAAAGAATCTTTTTTCTTTACCCTCCTGTCTCTCATTGTTCAGAGCAGCCTGCAGGAGTGGGGCAGACGCTGTTATTGGTTACGTAACGAACCTGTTCTATTGGTGGAGGAGAATGATGATCAGGAGGAAGATCAGAAGTCAGCGTGTGCAGAGAAGCTGCTCGTCCTTCACGAACCTGCAAGTTATGAAAAACATGTTCACTAAAGTGAGCACAAGTAATCAGGCGAAGTGAAAATGACCCTTGCAACGGCAGCTCTTCCCCGTTTTCATTATTCCCAAATAGCCTGAAATAGGACAATGCTAATGGATTTGTTGTAGCAATGGCAGGCTTGGCAGTATAATACAATGAATGAACTGTGTAGCTAATGCAGCCAGCAATTGAATTGAATTGAAGAGTCGAAAGGTGTCTCTGTCTTCATACTGGGGCCGAAGTTGGCAGACAAACTAAGATGAGCAAAATCTTCTCGGATTCTGCATGAGAGGAAGGGGATATAGATAGATAGATAGATAGAGAGAGAGAGAGAGAGAGAGAGAGAGAGAGAGAGAGGAGAAGGGTTATGAAGAGACCAGATGAGAAGAAACGGGACAAGAAGAACACAAAGACGAGAGAACAATCAGAGCATTAGAGAGGAGGTAAGGCAGCAAGGAGTTGAAAAAGAAGCATCAGGCCAGATCACACCACGCCGTTTTTAACCAGGAGGTTTCAGAAGAAGCATGGGCGTAGTCCAACAGGCCGGTATAACATCGCTAACAGGGACAACGAGTTCAAGATTTGGCAAACAATCTTGCGCAGAGTGCGTCGGAGTCGTACAGAGAGCATCCTCCAGACACCGGAACCTTTGCATTTATCCCACACTGGAAATTTCGACCCTCGGACGAACTCCTGCAGTCCGATTGCAAAAACACACAAACAAACAAACATCCGTAATCAGAAGCTCGCCCACCCTCATAACAAAAACCGGAGTCCTCCAAGCTATCCAAACTCTAATCTTTGATTATTTTTCTAATATTTCGTAAAAAGGTGAAAACGTAGCTGATGTGTTTTCCAGTATTGAGGAATTAAATGAAGGAAAAAACAAATGACGAAGAGGTCCGTAGACAACCTATCCGACCTTGGTCTTTTTAACAACACCCCCCCCCCCCCCAAAAAAAAAAAAAAACTTACTCGTCAGGGACAGTTTCCACTTGCGGCGACCGCTTGATATCACTCGCTGCATTATCTACGATCTAACTGTCAGACATGGCCATGTATTGTTTTTGATTTTGGCAGCCATGGCAAGCCTCCACTGGGCCGCTACTCCCCACCTGAGGTGTGCCACCACGTTTCTCAGGTGGGCGATGCGGATGGCGGGGGTT